TTTGGCCGGATTCTTTACCCCTTAGAATCTGAAAGTTTTTTGGGGTTTTTTGTAGTTTTTTCTTATGACTGTTTAAAATGGACCTTAACACAATATCACGCCTTCGCTCTGTACGCGCTGGATGCGATGGGATCCGGATCCAGGCTACCATTATCCTATCTTTTACTTCCGAGTCACTATCTTTCGTGATGATAATGAGCGGAAATTGCACTACCGCACGCCTGAAAGATCGCATTCATAGTCGTTCATTAATCAGCTTTTCCCCTTATAATGCCGTGCTAAGGAAGAACGCCGTATGAACCTTCAGGCGTTACCAAATTTCCTTCGACAAATCACGAATTTCAGGTTTGTGAATATTTCTCTTACAATTTTTCGGAGTATTTTTCGTAATTTGATCCAAAAAGTTTGAAACTGTCATGGAAAAATGTTCATATCTTTCCTCAAAAATAGCTATTTTCTGAGAGGAACTTTGGCAACATTTGATTCCCCTACGGCGTATTTACTTAGCACGGCAGTATAGGGGAGGGGTTAGGTTGTGGATTTCTCCGTCAATTTACTTTTTCGGTGATCTTTAAGCGCTTCTTGATAATAGAAGTGGAAGAGACTGCAAAAATATGCAGGGATGTACGATATACTTACATAATTTTTGATTTTGCTATTTGTTTATCCATTTGCTCATACTCTCTCATTATGTTGAGTCTGGAAATTTGGACCAGGCGACCGACCAATAGGTTGTACTCTTCCTCAGCGCGACTTAAAATCTCTGCAGATCGTTCTTTGCCCTCTTGCTCAATAAATCCTACCATTTTGTGAACCTGCACCAAAAATTGAAGTTGGCAAAACCACGCATCTCTATTGCGATGTTTCAAAATTTCCGCTCGTATTTCGATTTTTCGAAGCGATAAAACCAACTCTATAGCCTAAAATTTACTCAGAATATTAAGCTATCGATAAGAGAAGAAAAATCTTGAGAGTTTTCAAGGAGTTGCGTTGACTGGTTTTTCACAGGAGAAACAATTGTTTCTCAACCCAGATAGCAAGTAAGGCAGGAAGTTTACAACGTCGCAAATGGCGATACGTGGTCTCGCACTTTGGCAATCGATATGTTCAAGATATTTTCAATAAATTATTTAAGCATCGTTAGTATTAAAAATTATACAGTTTGTGATAGGTAGTTTATTTTAAGAGTCATTTCAACACTTTATACTTTCATTTTTATTTACAAAATATAAACAGAAGGCCACCTCTCTTCGTAAGTTTTAGCTTTTTTTTTTTTTTTTTTTTTTTTTTTTGTAGGGCAGTGAAGTGTGTTGCTGCGCTACAGTTGCAGATTGCAGTTTGGTTGTAGCGTGTAGGAGCTGCGAGTTTATTTAATTATGTACGGGCATCAAAAGAGAAAGAGCCGGCAATGAGTTACAGCAGTCGCCTCACTTGCATAGGACGAGGGAATAGAGTCTATAAAGAGCTACCTAATAAATGCTGTAAGGAGAAGGAGAATAAGGGGAAATGGGGTCAAAAAGTCTGTAAAATTACTTGACGAAGTTTGTCGATAGTTTCCGAAAGTGGGGAGAAACACGGCTTCAAACTACCCAAGTTGTTATATTGAGATTCTTAGCTCCAATGGAAGTGCGGACTTTGATAAAACAACACATCAGTACCTACAGAAAATTGATTGAAAAAGGTTTCGCTTACCTGATTTTCAAAAGTACAATCCCTCCAATTCAACATTTCCGCTGAATTTCCGAACGCTACAATCGATACTAATCTTTTTTCTTTCACACAGTTGTGGCGGTCATTTTCATTTTTATTTTTATCTCTTCATTTCAACCACACGTGCATGTACACTAAACATACACACATACTTATATACGCTACATATTCAACAGTGAATCTCGTCCAATCGCAGGTACGGCAATCATAAATCTTCAGTTTTGTTCGTTTTTAATATGACTGGCAATCAATTGGACATTGCTTTTAATGAATAACCTAAATTCTGAGCGGTTCGGCGAGCTATGAGAATTTTGAAGTTCATCAATAAACAGCTGTTTTAAACAAAAAAAGAGGGCAGCTACTTCCCCAAACGGTATTTCCCCAAACCAAATCGCGCATGGATATTTT